GCAGAAAGAAAAAAGAACACAGAAAATGAACAGGCCCTGGCCAGTGTGGCTTAGTGGCTGGAGTGTCAGTCATCCTGCGCATGGAAGAGTCAAAATTCAATTCCCAGTCACAGCGTGTGCAGGAGGTAACCAATCAATGTGTCTCTCTCACATCAATGTCTGTCTCTCTCTCTCTCCTCTCTCCTCTCTCCTCTCTCCCGCCCTCTGTCCCTTCCACTCTCTCTAAAAATCAATGGAAAAATATCCTTGGGTAAGGATTAAAAAAAAATTTTTTATGAAGAAAATGAATAGAGCTAAGGGAACCAGAGGACACTACCAAGCAGACCAAGATAAGCATTACAAAAATCCCAGAAGGAGTAGAGAGAGAAAGAGGCAGAAAGTATTTATTTTTTATTTTTTAAATGGCTGAAAACTCCCCAAATTCGATGAAAGACATGAATTTACACATTAAGAAAGTACAACAAACTCAAAGTAGGTCAAATTCAAAGAGATATACTCCAAGAAACATTATAATCAAACTGTCAAAAGATAAAGAGAGAACAAGAGAAGTGACTTATCATTAAAGAGAATTTCAGTAAGATTAACAGCTTATTTCTTATCAAAAGCCAGAGGCCAAAAGGTAGTCAGGTGGCATATTTAAACTGTTAAAAGGACTTTCAACCAAGAATTCTATATTCAACAAAACTACCCTTCAAAACAAAGGGGAAATTAAGACCTTTTCAGAGAAACAAAAGCTGAGTGAGTTCATTACTAGTAGACCAGCCTTACCAAAAATGATAAAGGGAGGCCTCTAGGATGAAATAAAAAGGACACTAGACAATAACTCAAAGCCATACAAAGAAAAATTTTAAATGTGTTAAAGGTAACCACATAGGTAAATATAAAAGCCAATATTATTATGTATTTAATTTGTAACTCCTCTTTTTGTTTCCTATGATTCAAAAGACAAATGCTTAAACAATAATTATAATTCTATGTTAATTGGCACACAATATATAAAGATGTAATTTGTTATAAAAACAACCTAAGGAGGGAGACAGAGCTATATAGGAGTAGATTTTTTTGTATACTTTCAAAGCTAAATAGGTATCAATTCAAACTGGATTGTTATAAACTTATTGTGTTAATTGTAATCCTCATGGTAACCATTAAGGAAATAACTTTTAAAATATAGAAAAATATGGAAACTCCTTCAATATGATAAAGGGCATTTATGAAAAACCTACGTCTAACATCATAAGGGTACAGACTAAAAGTTTTACCCCTAAAATTAGGGACAAGACTAAGGATGCCACTTTTACCACTGCTTTTCAGTATTGTACTGGATGTTCTAACTAAAGAAATTAGGTAAGAAAAAGAAATAAAAGGTATCCAATGAGGAAAAGAAGTAAAACTACCGATACCCAGATGACATGACCCTATGAATATAAAAAATTCCCAAAGAATGAAAACAATGACACCAGAACAAATTAACACTTTCAGCAAAGTTGCAGGGTTATAAGATCAACACTTAAAAGTCAGTTATGTTTCTATATAACTGCAATGAATAATCTGAAAGGAAATTAAGAAACACTTCAATTTATAACAGCATACAAAATAATAAAATATAGGAATAAATTTAACCTAAAATATATAGGAATAAAAATAAAAATATACAAGAAAAGCGCCTGGCAGTGTGACTCAATGGTTGAGCATCGATTTATGAACCAGGAGGTCAGGGTTCAATTCCTGGGAAGTCAGGGCATGCCGAGCTCGATCCCCAGTGTGGGACGTGTGAGAAGCAGCTGATCTATGATTCTCTCTCATCATTGATGTTTCTCTCTCTCTCTCTGAAATCAATAAAACAATATATTTAAAAAATAAAAATATACAGGAATAAAAATAAACATACAGAAAAACTACAAAATACAGTTGATCCGCTAAAAAATCCACATGTAAGTGGACCTGGGCAATTCAAACCTACATTCAAGGGTCAACTATATTTTCAATCAGAGGTTGGGAATATGCATATGAGGAGGGCTGACTTAAGTTACATGCCGATTTTTGACTGTGTGGGTGGTTGGCACCCCTAACTCCCACATATTCAAAGGTCAACTGTACTGCTGAAAGATATTAAAGATGACCTAAGTAAATGGAAAAGCATACCATGCTCATAGATTGGAAGACTTAATATTGTTAGAATGGCACTACTATCCAATATGATCTAAAGAGTCAATGCAATCCCTGTCCAAATTCCATTGGCCCTTTTTTGCAGAAATAGAAAAGCCAATCTTTAAATTCACATAAAATTTCAAGGGGGCTCAAATAGCAAAACAATCTTCAAAAAGAAGTCAATTTCAAACTTCTCAATTTCAAAACTTAGTACAAAGCTACAGTAATCTAAATAGTGGTACTAGCATAAGGACAAATATATAACCCAATGAAATGGAATTGAAAGTCCAGAAATAAACCCATATATCTATGGCCATCTGATTTCCAACAAGGGTGCCAAGTCCAATCAATGAGGAAAGACAGTCTCTTCAAAAAATGGTGCTAGAGTAACTGGATATCTACATGCAAAAAAATTTAGTTGGACCCTATACTATATACAAAAATGAACTACGAATGAATCAACAACCTAAATAAAGAGCTAAAACTATTAAACTCATAGAAGAAAACATAGGGGTAACTCTTCATGACCTTGGATTTGGTAATGGATTCTTAGATATTACACCAAAACCACAAACAAAAAATAGATAAATTAAGATATTTTGTGCATCAAAGGACATTATCAAAAAAGTGAAGCTGTCAGCCAACATCATACTCAATGGGCAAAAACTAAAACCATTTCCCCTAAGAACAGGAACAAGACAGGGATGCCCACTCTCACCACTCCTGTTCGACATAGTACTGGAAGTATTAGCCATTGCGATTAGACAAGAAGAAGAAATAAAAGGCATCCAAATTGTGTTTTTTTTCATATGTACCTTATACTTTAACATAACATTTTATTTTTAAAAAGTTATCACTATCCAGCCAGTGATGTTTAGTGGTTGAGCGTTGATATATGATCCAGGAGGTCACAGTTCGATTCCCAGTCAAGACACATGCCTGGGTTGTGGGCTCAATCCCCAGTAGGGGGTGTGCAGGAGGCAACTGATAGATAATTCTCTCTCATCATTGATGTTCCTATCTCTCCCTTCCTCTCTCTGAAATCAATAAAAACTATCTCTTTTTTTTTAAGAAACCCAAAGGGAAAAACATTATTCTAAAAAATGTTCCCTTTCCTCCTGCCCATCCCCCAGGTCAGCACCTCTTAAAGGGGAGCTTCAGACACAACTGGAAAATGGAGGTCTAAGCAGCAAACCAGGGACTGGTTAGTAGGTGAGTTATAGTGAGGAATGAAAGCTGTGACCAATTCCCTTGATTGCCCCTGACCCGAGGAATGTGGTAGCTGATGAGAAGCCTATCTTGGGCTGGAGCAGGGGAGATAAAGTGGTGGTGACAAAGTGTTGGCAGCCTGGTACTAGGCTGTTTTCCGTTGCTTCATCTACAGGGTCATGCTTTAGGAATGAGTAGCCCTTAATTGAGTTCAGCAGCAAGAGGCCCCAAGATACTTATTACCCTTTACCTCTTATTCTATTGATGCCTTTGTACATTTTTATTTATTTATAAAAATATATTTTATTGATTTTTTACAGAGAAGAGGGGAGAGGGATAGAGAGTTAGAAACATCAATGAGAGAGAAACATCGATCAGCTGCCTCTTGCACGCCCCCTACTGGGGATGTGCCCACAACCAAGGTACATGCCCTTGACCGGAATCGAACCTGGGACCCTTGAGTCCGCAGGCCAACGCTCTATCCACTGAGCCAAACCGGTTAGGGCTGTTTGTACATTTTTAAATATTTGTAATGTTATGAGTATTCCCAAAAGTTACCCAAACCATATACTTATCTAGGCAAAAATTAGACTTACAAGACACTGAAAGTGCCTGGAATTATATATAGGGAACAAAACTAGGCTACTATTTTTAAGGGTAAATCTGGAGCAGGGGAAGCTCAGACATAAATGAATCTAGAGTTTATAAAGGACTTAAAGCTCAGCTAAATTTTATTGGTTCTGGTTCTCATCTTCACTGTGTTCCTAAGCCTACAGTCCCAAAGCACAAAAGAAGGACCCACTGGCAATTTAGATGGAGAGAGTAAGGTATTTCCTTGGTATTTTGAAATGATGCTGCCTTGCTTCTGTGTACCAAATGTTTCAATGTATGTAGGAGAGATAGTAAAACTGATTGGAAACTGGTTAACAGCTGAAGTCTGAAGTTCAAGAATTATTCAGACACCTCCTTTGTGATTGTATGCCTTTCCTTGAGCCCCTTTTGTCTACTCATACTCCTCCTCTAAGGATATACCAATTTTCTACCTTGATTCTTGTATGGACCAGTAAAGAAGTCTGAAATCAAGATATGAGATGTTCTCCTTGTTGGGAACACTTGGATCCAAGGCCCAGGAGGCATGAGACGATCTAAACTCCACACCTTTAACGTAAGTATTATGGCACAAAATGATTGATGGAAGTTAGAAGATGATTTGAGATGAGGAGTGGCAAGTTTAAAACATCTCTCTCCTATGCCTCTCTTCATCTTGTTCCTCCTCTACTGACATGCTATATAATAAAAGGCCAATATGCAAATCGACCAAACAGCGGGACGACCGGTCACTATGATGCACACAGACCACCAGGAGGCAGACATTCAACACAGGAGCCGGGTTCACGGCTGGCAAGTGCACAGGCAGTAACGGGAGCCTCTCCCGCCTCCACGGCAGCTGGACATCCGCCGAGGGCTCCCAGACTGCGAGAGGGCGCAGGCTGGGCTGAGGGCCCCCCACCCAAGTGCACAAATTTCGTGCACTAGGCCTCTAGTACATACATATTTGCTCACCCAATTCACCATTTACTAGCAGCTAAAATGACAGGACCTCCTCCACAACCCACTCCTGCCCCAGCAGCCATACCCACCTTCTGGAAGTCAGACTCTAGAGGTGACTGCCTATTGGCCCCAAGGACACTCATCATTTCTGTGGTACCTGTGGCTTCTATCACTGGGGCAGAGATGTCTTCTGCAGTCCTTCCTTCTGGAAATCTGAAGGCTTCTGCAATTACTCCTGAAAAGAAAGGAGGATAGGTAGGTGAAGGGTCAGTAAATGTCATCATAATTTATCCTTATGTAGGTATGCTATAGGAGGGCTGGACAGAACTTTAGCATGGGCAAAGTAGCAGAGAGATAAGAGAAAAATAATACCTTAATATGGTTGATTTTATCTCTTTGCTTTCTTTCTCTACATCCTCTACCATTATTTAACTCTGACTCCATTTTTACCCTGCTCATTCACTTCCATTAAGCATGCTCATTTCCCTTATTTTCTACAAAACTCCTTTCTTGCCTGATCCTCAACAAGTAGAAGGAAAAGCCGGTAAAGCTTCCAATCAGTACATCTGGATATGAATTGTCTTTTTGCATGCAACGAAGACTTTGTGATATATAGAGTACCTTTATTAAAATAAGCTTTGTGAAAACAGGAATCTTGATTTATGTAATATAAATCCAAGTGCTTATACAGCATGAAAGGAAATACATAACCAGCTCAACAGACGTCAGGGCAAGAGAAAGAGAACAGAAGAGAGGAAGAAGAAAAAAATGGTTTTCATCAAGAATAGAGATTCTTAAAGTGTGTGTTTTGCCCAGCCTTGATGGGAGTTAGAGGAATCTAGGGAGTCTTGAGGGAAAAGCAGCAAGACCTATTTGTAATGATGGAAAACTGACAAGACGAATGAAGACAGGAATGCACTGAGTGGGAGACGCACAACTTAAAAAAATAAAACAATTTTTTAATATATAAAAGTATATAGAAGGAAAAAGAAAAACCTGGTCTATCATTCCACAGCACCAAAAAAACACTCTCTGACATAAATATTATATATTTTATATGTGTGTATACATGTTTTGTGTATAGAATATTATATTTCATATAAATGCATTTCATGGTCAGAATGTTTGAAACAAAAAAGATACAAAATAAAAAGTGAAAGCATCCCTCTTCCAAAAGCAACCTTTTTTGGTTAATGTTTCTGCTTCCTTACAGAATAAAATTGGCAGCTTGATGTAGTTTTGATGAGGTGACAAGATGATGTTGAGCCATAAAGGGTTGAATTATTCCTTCAGCCAAATCAGAGAGATTTGGAGTTTGACCAACTAACTTCAACATGCCTATAAAATCTGGCTGGAAGGAGAAAGGGAGTCATCTGAAAATCAGAGTCCCCAAAGCCTTTTATTGCTAACTCTAAGGTCAGTTTACCCCCATTTCCCATCCTCAATTTTTCTTCTAGGAGTTTCAGGGCCAGTGTGTCCCCCTTCTGGCCTGGCACCACTATTCCAGAATGCTATTGAAATGAAGGGGTCACTGGCAGCCTTGACATGCACTCATTGTAATAGACAGTGCTTTGTATACAAAGATCCAGGACAGAAGCAAGAGGACAGACAGCTGGCTTGTGCAGTACTAAGCATCCAACAAATACAATCAATGTATAGCTTTTACCCACTTATAAATTGCTAAGTATTAACAATCAGTTAATAAAAAATAGTTACTATTACCACATTGCTTCTATTTTTTTAAAATCCTACCCGAGGACTGTTTTGTTTGTTTGTTTTCATTGATTCTAGAGAAAGGAAGGGAAAGGGAGAGGAAGAGAACATATATGGGAAAGAAAAATTGATTGGTTACGCGCCCCAACAGGGAATCAAGCCCACAACCCTTCGGTGCACAGGACAATGCTCTAACCACCGAGTAACACCGGCCAGGGCCCCACACTGACTTTTTAAATGAACTTTTATTGCGCACTCTTTTGTGCCAGGCAACTACGCACTGTAAATACAATGGTAAAAACAGTAAGCAATGACAGACTACTTTGGGGAGTTTGTAATCTAGTTGAGGGGAAGGGAGGCAATATGAATCAAAGAAACACATAAATGTCAAATTACAACCACATTAAGTGCTACAATGAAAATGTACATGGCCTTTTGAAAATGTTTAAGGGTTGAGGGCAAATCAGGATGGTGATTTTTTTTTTTAATGTATTGGTTGATTTTAGAGAGAGAAAGGCAGTGAGAAATATCAATTCGTTGCTCTACCTATCTATGCACCCACTGGTTGAGTCTTGTATGTGTCCTCACTGGGGACTAAAATCAGGACAATGCTCCACCCAACTGAGCTACCCGGCCAGGGCAGTGATTTTTTTTTTTTTTTAAGGGCAAAAGGTTTTCATTTTAAGTTCAACAGCTTGGCTTATCAATGAATATTGTTACTGTATGCATATTTTTTATTTAAAATTACGTAAACATTATTGCAAAATTAAACTCCACACAGAAGAAATGTGCTCACAACCCCAAACAATTTTCATTCGTCCATTTTCTCAAAAAATTGTTAATAAATGAAAATCTTGCTCATTAGATTCTCATCCTGGTCTTGGTAGGTAAGCTTTATTGAAGTGAGAACCAAGTTTTAGGGATGTATTTTTAAAACCCCACCTCACTTCCTTTTTATGCCATTTCCTCTCTGAACTCACCTCTACCCTTTAAAATATAAATACTTAACGTCCCCATTGGATGTCTGTATACTGTAACTCCAACCCCCACTCCAACCCTAAATACACACATACCTCTCCCCACTCTTCCTCAGTCCCTGAACCTGGTAGTCTGGTAAATGGGCATATGTTCCGTCATGCTTTACTACCAAAACATTAGCTAACTTTTTTACTTTTTAGATTTTTTAAAGAGATGGAGTGGCATGAGGTAAAGTGGGAATACTTAATAGAAAGGTTATTAATAGTATTATGTGCCTGAAGCTAGCTGTGAATAGGAGAAAGATGGCTTATAAAACAAGAGGTCTCCATTCACAAAACCGAGGGAAATTTTTAGGGAGTTATACAACTTAGGTAAAAATTGTTTGACCAAATTTAAACCTAACTGCTCAATTGTTCTCACAGTTGAGAGGATCCAATAAAAACTGCTTCTGATGTTTGCAGAAATTTAAAAGTTATATTCCATAAGCCACATGTTAAGATTAGGGACACTCCCTGTTTGTGCCTTTGTCTCCTAAGGTAAAAATGTATTCCATACCATGATGGTACTGAAACTCTAGGACAGTGGTTCTCAACCTTCCTAATGCCGCGACCCTTTAATACAGTTCCTCATGTTGTGGTGACCCCCAACCATAAAATTACTTTCGTTGCTACTTCATAACTCTAAATTTGCTACTGTTATGAATTGTAATGTAAATATCTGATATGCAGGATGTATTTAGGCGACCCCTGTGAAAGGGTCGTTCGACCCCCAAAGGGGTCGCGACACACAGGTTGAGAACCGCTGTTCTAGGAGCTAGTGACTGGGTTAGAGTTCTGCCCTTTCTTTCACATGGCTTCTCTGGATGGGCTTCAAAGCAGATCCCACTGACTAAAGGAAGCCAGCACCACTTCCTGCCCAGACCACAGAATCCTAAAAGCTCTCCCTCTGCTGGTTTCAAGGCAGATATTAAGAATACTGTTGCTTCGGCTGTTATAAGGAGCATTATTCTAGAAAAACTTTGAGGATGGCAGATGCCTTTAGCATAAAGCTTTAAGTTATCAAGAGAGTACAAGAGGAGTTGCTCAAAGTACTCCAGCCCCAGCTACTTGAATTAGCTCTGCCCTTCCTAAATTTTGCTTCTCTTCCCTTCCCTTCCCTTCCCTTCCCTTCCCTTCCCTTCCCAAGTGGTCCCCTCCTGACCTGGAAAAACATTCTGCCTCCCTCAGAGATGAAGTGAGGTTAGGAGTATATTCTGGATAGGATTAACCCCACGTCACTCTTTCTCTAAACTTACCCACCTTTCCCCAAAGGGTGGTGGAACTTACTAAGGGATCAGTCCTGAAAATCAGTAACAATTGGCATTTTAAACTTTTATTTTCTCTAAAGATAGCTGTTCATAGCTAGCCTTCTGAATCAGTCTGGTTTCCAGGCCAGAAAAGTGCATTGAATTCAGGCTTCAGCCTAAAAAAGCAGCCCTAAACAACTACTAGGAGGCCTGACCAGTGTACACATTTGGTGCTGAGATGGAGATAATCTTCATCTTTTTTTTTTTTTTAAATATATTTTATTGATTTTTTTACAGAGAGGAAGGGAGAGAGATAGAGAGTTAGAAACATCGATGAGAGAGAAACATCAATCAGCTGCCTCCTGCACATCTCCTACTGGGGATGTGCCCGCAACCCAGGTACATGCCCTTGACCGGAATCGAACCTGGGACCTTTCAGTCCACAGGCTGACGCTCTATCCACTGAGCCAAACCGGTTTCGGCAAGATAATCTTCATCTTAAAGAAGGGGGGAGGGAGCTCCCTGTGGCATCATAAGGTGAAGTAACATGTCCCAAATCACAGCAAGGCAAATGGCTGAGGAACATTAAAGAACCTAAAATCTGTGCCCTTTCCACAACATGAAGAGAGGCCAAGACAACTTCGAAATAAATATTAGTCAAGGCTCTAGAAAAAGCAAATAGTCCCCCAAACTCAAAGTAGGGATTCTACAGCTCTGCACACAAGGGAATAAGGACAAAAAGAATTAAGAAAAAAGATTAGCAACTTTGCATTATTTTTGAGAGTTGGGGTAGGGGAGGTTGGGGGAGAATAAGACTCTGAAGCCTCTGTTGAGAGTTTATAGATTGCTGACAACAGATGTTAGAATACCCGAGGACCAAGCTCCCTGATTCCCAAAAGCACTCTCAGCAAGAACATGAGTGTTCTTGGGGAAGCTCAGTTCCCAGAGGAGCATAGGGAGAGTCAACACAAGGTTATATAAAAAGTTTCACAATAGGAAGATGCCAAAACTAGACCACTGTCCACTATTTACTACCCATCTAGGCAGCACTGGAGCACAGACTATAATCTAACAATCTGACATAAAGAAAGCCCTAAAAAACAACTGGAGGGAGTATAGAAAATAGAGCAGTGAGGATTCATTGCTTTAGTTTTCCTGTGGATGTCAAATGTGTGTGGTTTCAAAACAAAAATCCAGAAAGAAACATGAGATTAATACATTTATTCCAAG